TGCAGCTGATGTGTGATCTCGTTGGGCAGGTCGTCATTCACCTCCGTGGTGAAGTACTTCCTCACCTCTTCCACCTCCCTCTGCCAGAACTCCTGATCCAGGGAGAACAGCTCATCCAGGTCCACATCGCCCTGCAGACCCTGGAGGTTCAGGGAGCCGTGGCAAGGCAGGTGGCCCACGGCGGAGAGCGTGGCGCCGGCCTCGCCGTTCACCCTCCTGAACATCCAGTCCAGAACGCGGATGTTGTCGCCAAAACCGGGCCAGAGGAAGCCGGCGGTCGGGCTCTTGCGGAACCAGTTGACATGGAAAATCTTGGGGAGCTTGGCACCGGGACGCTCAGCCATGCTCAGCCAATGAGAGAGGTACTGTCCAAAGTTGTAGCCGAAGAAGGGGCGCATAGCGAATGGGTCGTTCATGATTACCTTTCCTGGAGAGAAGATGGAGACCGGGGATGAGTGAATATCTTTCCATCAGTACACTTCAGTAAAGTGAAGTGTGTCTGATGTGCAGGCAAACAGAAGTTTGAGTTGTTAAATAATAACCAGGATCCTTCAGCTGGGAAGAATCGAATTAATTCATGATAAGACTCAGATAAAGGTTTGTGGTGAATGAAAAGATTCTGACCTCTGTGTTCAGCTGCAGCAGTGGCCTCCGATCTCATGGCCGCTCCAACAAACACTCCGTGCTGCCAGCTGAAGGCCTCGTACACCAGAGGGACGCCTGAAACCAACCAGAGCCACGAGTTAGACAAGAGTCTTTAGCATTAGCCATTTTATAGTTTCCAGGTTTTCCACCCAGTTCCTTCTCACCCTCTGGTCTGCGCCCTCCAAAAATGATGGCCTCGATGGGGACTCCCTCTGGGGATTCCCACTGCGGATCAATGATCGGGCACTGACCGGCCGGAGTGCAGAAACGAGAGTTGGGATGAGCACAGGGTTCACCTGCAAAGAGAGGGAGACACGAGTGTAAGCGTTATTTCTAATTCTTGTCCAGTTAGATTTAAGAGTTTTGATTATAGTATCTTCAAACCAATAATCTTTCTGTACAGGTCTCACCATCTTCTGAGCTCCAGGGCTTGTTCTTCCAGGACGTGATGGTGACTTCGTCAGGCAGCGCTTGGTCCATCCCCTCCCAGTAAACACCGCCATCGCTGGTCTCGGCAACATTTGTGAAGACGGTATTCTTGACAATGGTCGCCATTGCGTTGGGATTGGTTTTGGCCGAGGTTCCTGGGGCAACGCCGAAAAAGCCATTCTCTGGGTTGATGGCACGTAGGTTGCCTGATGAAGGGAAATGGGAAAAGTGAATATTTCTTTGCGTCACTGATGTTAAACTGAACTTTCGAGTGTCCGTCCCCTCTCACCTTCATCATCAAACTTCATCCAGGCGATGTCGTCTCCCACACACTCGACCTTCCAGCCCGGCAGCGTGGGGCAGAGCATGGCCAGGTTTGTTTTCCCGCAGGCGCTGGGGAAGGCTGCGGCCATGTACTTCTTCTCTCCAGCAGGGTTGGTGATGCCCAGGATCTGAACGGGGAGAAATATTTAGTTTGGTGAGACTGGATAGGTTGTAGAGTTTTGGATGGAAGGGTGGAATCGATCCCTGAATGCTAAACTTGTTTTCATGTATTCCTTCCTTTTCCTTACCAGCATGTGCTCAGCCAGCCACCCCTCCTCCTTGGCGATGCGTGAGGCGATGCGAAGGGCGAAGCATTTCTTTCCCAGCAGCGAATTTCCTCCGTAACCACTGCCAAAGGAAACGATCTGCCTGCGGTCGGGGATGTGAGCGATTAACGTCTCCTCAGGGTTACAGGGCCAGTTGTTCACCAGGGGCTCTGAATGACGAGGCAGGAGAGTGGTTACAGTTTAATCAGTGGACAGTTTGTTTTTAAAAGACGGAGGAAAATATATGATGTTACATGTTTAAGCAGTTGTATTAACGTGTAGAGGTGGATTCAGGATGTGTTTCTTCATGAAATGAGATGTTTTGATTTCTCAGAGAACAATTCATGTTTGGAAGGACGATATTTATGAGGGATTTAAAAGTGGTTTCATAAGGGAAGACTAAATGGAAACTGCAGTAGCAGCAGTAGTTACAGAAGTAAAGTATTTGTCCCAAACAGGTTGATGTTGCTAACATACCTTTGAGCGGCAGAGGACAGCCGACGGAGTGCAAACAGCGGACAAAGTCGCCGTTTCCCAGAGCCGACAGCACGGCCTTCCCCATGCGGGTCATCACCCTCATGCTGGCGACCACGTAGGGAGAGTCCGTCAGCTCCACGCCAATCTTAGAGAGGGGGGAACCCACCGGACCCATGCTGAAGGGGATCACATACATGATGCGGCCTGAGGACAGAGAGTCACACAAGTTCAAATTAAACTGAACCTCACTGAAGTTGTATTTTCCCAAAAGGTTCTTTTTGGTTTCCACACGTTTGTTAATTCTATCGAACACGACTCTCAGGGAAATTGGAATCAAACATTTTATTTTCTCTGCGCCACCTTTCATGCAGCCGGGGAACCGCTGAGCCATGGCCTTGTCGAACTCTTCCGGGGACATCCAGCGTCCCAGCTGGCTGACTCCCCCTCCCAGCGGCGTGGGCACCGTGTCCTTCTGGTCCCTGGTCACGATCACCGTCTTGCTCTCCACGCGAGCCACGTCCCTTGGGTCGGTCCTGGCCAACCAGCTAGAGGAGGAAGATGACACCGGGTTTTTATCTTTCAATTTTTCTCCCTTTCTAGTTCTCTAAGTCTAAACAAGTTCACGCCTGGGTATAAAACGAACGTACTCAAAACATGTATTAAATGACATGATGATAATCTGTCGCCTGAGGTCGAGCTGTGTGAGCTCATGTTTTGCGATGGCTGCAGGCATGTCAGGTGTTGTCGGACTGAACAAGCTGGATTTACAGGTTTTCAGGAATGTAATTCTTTCCATAACATGTTATTTACGGTGCTCATTGTCTGTATCAACAACATGACGTGCAGGTTGCATTAGGAAAACAGAGACAGTCACTCAGCAACAAACACTCAGAAGACCCTTCACATGTTAAAAGAAAACAGTCTCATGATATAAAACTGAACCTGAACTCCAGGAGAACTCACCAGTTTTCATATTTGCTGAGCTTCTTGATCATCCCCTGCTCCTCCAGCTGGGTCAGGATGGCACGGTTCTCCTCGTCCGAGCCGTCGCAGATGTGGATGGAGTCGGGCTGGCACAGGGTCACGTTGGCGTCCACGAACTCCCTGACGGTCGAGCTGAGGGCGCTGAGGTCGCCCTGCAGGACCCTGGGTCCGCTCTGGTTCTGGGACTGGAGCTGAGGAGGCATGTCGGAGGTGGTCTGGACTGGAGAGAGCGAGCGAGCGGGCCAATGGACAGAGAGAAGGAGATGAGAGAGGAATAGGAGGAGCGGACGAGCCTGAAAGGTCGAGGACGGGAAAGAAAGAGGAGAAAAACAAGTTCAGTCACAACCAAAAAGTGAAAATGCTTTGCTGAATCAAGGTGAAATGCATGATGGTACAGAGTGGAGGCCAAAGGTCAAAGGGATGTGAGGACGTCACAGGGTAAATGTCAACGTTAGCGCTCGTTTTAAAATTCAAAAGACTGCGTAAGATAAGTATTTCACACGAGAGCAGACGTGTCCTGAACAAGCTGAGCGAGGCTGCTGCTGCTGCTGCTGCTGCCTCTGCAGATGATGCAACAGCTTCCCCCTGCATCTCCGCTGAGGAGCAAGAGAAAGAGAAATCAGGCTTGTTACCTTCAGGAGTTGGTTGCGGAGCAGGAAGCCTTTAGCTTGGCCTCATCAGCTGAGGGGTCTGTCGGCTGCTTTCAGGAGAGAGCTGAGGTCTGTTCCTCTCTCGG